TAAGAAAGTCATCTATTAATTCTTTTTAGTTTACTAATTTTTTGAATTTTTAAATTCTTGGAATTAAATGGTTACATTTTTAATCTTTAAAATTGATTTTAAAAATATTTTATTCTCATTTTAACTGAGAATTAATGAATTTTGTTAGTTTAAGAGATAAAATTTACAAAATTTTAAATTTAAGGGCTAAAAACTATATAATATAAGGTGAGGGGTTAAAAGTTTCAAATTTAATAAGGTAAAGGACTAAATGTACACTTTACAGAGGCAGTAATTGTAACTTTATTTTAAGAGTTTGCTAAAAAAACTGATGAAATTTGAGTTAAGCTTTTATAAATTCGTAAAATAATAATTATAAATTTATAGTTAGAGATAATTTTAAAAGATAAAAATTACACTTTTTTAATTGTAAAATGGGAAGCTGAAACGTCATTTTGGAGTTCTAAAAATATAATTCGATTCTACCCCATAGAAAATTCAATAAAAATAAAGGAGATTCATGCTTGTCAATTAGAGTTCAAAAAAATTAGGAGGAAAAGTTACTAATAAAAAAATATAAAAAGCTTTAAAATTATGTCGTTTCATTAGAGTATTATTGGAAAAATTAAAATAATTTATTTTTATTTAAAAATAAATCATTTTAATTTTTTTCAATAAAAATTTGTTGAAACGATATAATTTATAGTTCTTTTTCTCCTAATTTTTTAAGGTTTGATTGACAAACATTCTTCTCAAAATAAATAGCCATTGCATTTTTTTTTATAGTATATTTAGTTTGAAAAAAAAAAGAAGGGGTGAGAAAAAAAATTTCTAATTACCAAGAGGCAAGAAGAGAGAAGTCATTTACAATATTTTTTTCCAATTCTTTTACTTATTTAAATAGAGAGAGAGAAAAAATATAAAATCCTTCTATTCACCTCCCCTCCTCATGTTTCCTCATACTATATATACTATTAATTTTCATAAGAGTTAGAGATAAAAAATTGGAACACTTATTATTATATAAAAGGGTTTCTTCGTCGGTCATGAAGAATAAAATACCAGTACTTTGTAGGTTGGAAAAAAATTATCTTTAATGATGAGTGAGGAATGTGTGTAGATTTATTAATAGTACTTTTTTCATTTCATATATATATACATGTGTAGCTTGTCTTGAAAAAATGTTATTCAAATGTTTTTTTTTTCAATTTGGACAGGATTATCAAAATACAGTATGTACGAAGAAAAGTATATTAGCACCGTTGGTTTTTTTTTTTTTAATTATATAATAAAAAATAATTTGTTTCTATCATTTAATTTGTACTTATTATTCATATTATTATAAGATTAAAAATCAAAATTTTTTATTCAAATTTAAAAACTTACTGTTGATTTATTTAACTCATTCCTTGTTAAGCACCTGTTTGGATTGGTGGATTTAGAGGAAAAGTAGGGTAGAGGGAGAGATAAATATCTTTTTTACTCTGTTTGTTTTTGTCCATTAATAGAGAAAAAGGGAGATGGAAGTTGATAAAGTCGTTTTCATTCCTCTATTTTTCATCCTTTCAAATTGGAGGAATAAGAAAGGGTTTAATTTATATATTTAATATTTTTAGAAAATAAATATATATAAATATTTTATTTTAATTAATAAATTTTAAATATTTTATTTTATTTTATTTGTCTTTTAATTATTTAATTAAATAAAAATATTTTCCTTTCTCCTCCTCTATTTTTATCTATCTAAGGTTAATATCTACTCTTTTCTTCCCTTGACTTGCCTTCCCTTCCCTTCCCTTCCCTTATCTTCTCTTCCCTTCCCTTTCCTTTACTAATTGTTGAAATTTTTTTTAGTCTCCTGATATTGGGATTTAGCGTCCCATTGCTCAATAGCCCCTGTTTTAGGATTCTTTAAAACTACCGTTAATAAATCTTATTCAATATGTAAATAAATAGCGGGAAAGATTTAACAAACGGCCATCCAATTGTCGATACCCAAGACAAGAATTTGAAATTTGTTGGCAAATGAAGAAACATGAATTGCAATCTCAGAATGCATTGTCCTTTGCAGCCGCTTTCTTCAGGGAGCGGAAACGGACCTGAACGAGGTGGCCAAGATAAGAGACGCGGTAAAAAATGGGCGGAGCTACTGCGGGAGGCTCCTCAACTACAAGAAGGACGGCACTCCTTTCTGGAATCTCCTCACCGTCACCCCAATCAAGGATGGCAACGGCAAAGCCATCAAGTTCATTGGGTCTGCCTCTCTTTCCCTTCTCTTCATTTGTGTTTTTCAAATACTTGCTCTAAACCCTACCCATGCTATTCAATTCAATTCAATTTTTTCCCATGCAGAATGCAGGTTGAAGTCAGCAAATACACTGAAGGTGTCGTTGATAAGGCCTTACGCCCAAATGGATTGCCTCAATCCCTAATTCGCTATGATGGTAAATCATGTTTTCTCTGTTTTTTCATTTCTGTGTTTCATCTTTAGATTCGGTGATCATAATTTGTTGGGTCAGCTCGTCAGAGAGAGGAGGCTTTGGGTTCTATTACTGAGGTTGTCCAAACTTTGAAAGATCCCCAGTCTCACATTCATAATGATGCTACTGGCAATCATGAAGAGGAGGAAAAGTTCAACCTTGATTACCTTCTTCCTAAATCTGCTGCTATTGAGAATGTTGGTACACCAGGTAGTCAAACTCCTCAATCGGTTCTGAGCACAGCGACTACTCTTCCAGAAGGCAAGAAGACTAGAAACTCAGCACGCATCTCCTTGATGGGGTGAGTCTTTTCGGGCATAAGGATTTTTTTTTTCCTGGGTACCTATTGTGCTCCCTCATGATTAATGTTTCTGTTAAGTTTGCGGTATTTTTTGTCATGTTCACATGTCTGTCAGTATTAATTAACTGTATAAATAAAAGAATTAGATGCCTCTGGATGCTATTAATGAAACGAAGTACTGAGCTTGCTGTTCCAATTTACTCCATTTAATTTTCAAAAGTGAGAACTAGAAAACAATCTCATTGAAGTAGGTTTAATTATTTAATTGTTTTCTGACATTAAATAGATCTGTGCACAAAAATAAATGCTTTGGACATATGTTGTATTGCCTGGAATTCAAAATCCATTAGAGTTTTTGCATATGTATTTGCATCATTCTTGGACCATATATTCCTTATAATTCTATCATCTGAAATTTTGATTATTTCTTCCCAAGCTTGTAGAGGAACTTGATCAGACTTTAATTTCTCAAACATATTATGCAACACAGATCCGCCGATGTACTGCCGGCCTCTGTGACTCTTCAGTTAGCGTTTTATACATAATGTATAATATTTCCTACAGGTTTAAGGGAAGGACCAGCTCTTCAGTGAAACAAGAAAAACAACCAATTGTTGAACCAGAAGTTTTGATGACTAGAGACATAGAACACACTGACAGCTGGGATCATGCCGAAAGAGAAAGAGATATACGCCAAGGAATTGATCTAGCAACCACATTGGAACGCATTGAAAAGAATTTTGTGATCACTGATCCTAGACTTCCTGATAATCCTATTGTAAGATGGAGTTTCAACAGCATTTCCCCCCTCATTTAGCCTTATCTTCATTTTTGCAAAATTCTGTCTCAATAATCCTGTACATCTTGCACGTCTAGACTCAAGAGTCCATTTTGAAAATATAAGTGTAGGAAAGATGCAATGTAAAATTTTTTTACTCCCTGGTTAACTTGAACTATATATGCAAAATCATTACAAATGTTCAAATCTGTACCCTGTGCAGATATTTGCATCTGATAGCTTTCTTGAATTGACGGAATATACACGTGAAGAAATTTTGGGAAGAAACTGTAGGTATGTAGTTCTTGTCATTCTTTGTTCTCTGATTGTATTGGTCAGCTCTCGCCATATAGCTGTTAATTATCCCTTATCAATTAAATTTGGGGTTTCTTGTGTTGATATATTCAACCTGTCCTCTCCAACTATCAACACTTGATTTAGGCTGTCTTAATATGGTAGCGAGGCCCAGGTTCTTTATTGCCTTGTTTGTTGTCTATTACCTCATTTTCATAGTCCATGTGATAGGCTGTTCGCCTCAATTGTTCTATGGGGCTTATGCATGGACTTTAGTGTTAGGTAGTGATGGTATCCACATTGATTAGGTATGGATTTTCTTGTGCTGTATATTAAATAAGGCCCTCTCAATCTGCGATAAGTTTTAATTGGCTGCTGTAAAGATTACTGTAACTTTTTAAGTATCCAAGCTATGACTCACATTTGCACATGATATAAGTGATTTTTCTTGTTAATGAAAAATGTGTTGCATTCTTCCATGTACTTGTACATGCTTTCCTGGTGCTATAAAATCTTTTTATTTACATATAGAACATATCTAATTAAGCATGGGGTTAAAATTTCTGATATTCTAATCTTTTAATGGTTATTGTATTTTTCCATTATCAGGAAACATATATATCCCATTTTAATTTAAACCTCTGTTGGAAAATGGAAGTATTATGTTGGCCTTTTAGCAGTAAGGAAGAATAGATCCACAAAGCTTTAGATACTCTTGAGAAAATAGAACTCTTGGAGTGTCCTGCCAGGTCGGTGGTTTACTAGTAAGTGAAAATATTAGAAAGTTTTGGGGCAGACCTATTTATCTGGTTGTTACTTGTATTGTGCTTGTGTCAAGTTACAGGATCTTTTGGCTTGTAACATTAGACGTTCATTCTTTCCTTTTTCTTGGTTTGCTATTTGACCAGTGTCTTTTTATGTCAATTCTGTAAAACCAGCCAAGTGACTCTTTCATGATCTGATTTTGAGCACTTCAATACTACCCTATTTTATGGTGTTCTCTTCATATTGGTCAGATGAATGTATAAAAACCAGTAATACATTTTCTCTGCAGGTTCCTTCAGGGACCAGAAACAGATCAAGCAACTGTCTCAAGGATTAGAAATGCCATCAGAGAACAGAGAGAAATCACTGTTCAGTTGATCAACTACACTAAGAGTGGTTTGTCTGTCATTTATTTATTTATTTATTTTTCTAAAGATGCAATGTGCTCTAAATTATTTTTTGGTTCATTTTGCTTCAATGCAAGAAAAACTTGCATTGTAATTAGAAGTTTTAGATGATATTTAATTTCCCTTGAAAGCTATTTTGCAGCTTCCGAAGTTAATCTAACCTCAACACTATTTTGCTGATTTTATTTCATTTCATGACTTGCAGGAAAGAAATTTTGGAATTTATTCCACTTGCAACCTATGCGTGACCAAAAGGTGGTTACAATATTCTTATTTAAGATATATAATACCATTTCAATCAGTTTACACTATGAGTGTAATTTCAACTTGATTATATGTTACAGGGTGAGCTTCAATATTTCATTGGTGTCCAACTAGATGGAAGTGACCATGTTGAACCCTTAAGGAATCGCCTCTCTGAGCAAACAGAGCAACAAAGTGCAAAGTTGGTCTGTATTTGCTTAGTTATTTTCTTTTTGTCTATTGTCTCAACTGTTAATGTTCTCTTGTAATTCATTTAATGTGTGTACCCATTTTTTATTAGGTCAAAGCTACTGCAGAAAATGTTGACGAAGCTGTTCGAGAACTTCCTGATGCTAACTTGGTAAGGTATTCTTTCTTCTCTATTTATGGAAGTAATACAGGGCTTGTATCATTTTCGTTGATTAAAAGGTGGAAGCTTTGTGCTTCTGATTGTATGCATACACAAAAGTCTGGTTCTCAACTATACATGGCTAAAATTATAGCATTTAGTGTTGTATCAAGTTAGACAGTCTAGTTGTGCATATGATGCTTAATAAGATTGCTGAGAGACATTTATATTATAAAATATTTCAGAGACCAGAAGATTTGTGGGCAATCCATTCTCAGCCTGTCTTTCCACGGCCTCACAAAAAGGATAGTTCTTCTTGGATAGCAATACAAAAGGTACTAGCTTGAACACCCCACCTAATTACACTGTAGTACATTCCAGTACATTCCACTTTTTAAGTGGTGCACTTTATCAAATCGTGGATAAATTTAATCCTTCTTATCCATCTTTCTTTGTGGTTGTCCATGTTTTGTGAGCATGTCCAGGTGTCTGTTCATGGACGCACATAGCATATATGCTTATTTCTGTGTATACTGCATTATATATGGATGAATGTATGCATGCAATTACACGATGAACTCCTATAATTTGGCTGAATAGTGGATTAAACTTTTAATTGTTGCATAATAACTTAAGGCTGGCCTAATATCTAGCAACTAATTTAACTTTCAAATTTCATCTATTGTTTTGGCATGAAACCAGAAATCTTGGGAAGTTTCAAGTTTTTTTGTTCTTTTTGATAAAAGTGAAGGGATGTTGCTGACAAGGTTTTCTATAGTTAACCATTTTACATAACTGGCATAGGCTTTATAAACTAGTAGGTTGTTAATTCTTTTTGGATCTCTTTATTTTTCTTTTCTAATTTATCCACTTTGGTTATATAGATCACTTCTCATGGTGAAAAGATTGGGTTGCATCATTTTAAGCCCTTAAAACCATTGGGTTGTGGTGATACTGGCAGGTACTGCTATTAACTTATCTTTTTTTGACAGTTTGATACAACCAAGTTGTTTCGACATAAATCTACTGTCAGTGTTACCATCGTGCTCAATCAATGGCATGCCTGAATTTGTGCTTTACTTTTCTGTTTTGCTTGTATGCATATGATCAAATTATTGGTAGTTCTGGTCTGGCTGCAGAAAATACCTGGGGGAACAAGGCTTGTCATTTTTGCTAGGCATGCTAGAGGCAGATTAATATCTCCCTGCTATGCTGGAAAGAAAGGCAGGGGTGGGTATTTGGTTTCAAATTCTGCCAATTGATGTTAGGGATGTTCCATGGGATATCCTCCTCTAAGAATGTAACACCTAGGCTTCAGAACTCTTAGTGATTTATTTTTTCTGGTTCTGACACATCATTCAGTTGGAGTATAAAAAAAGATATGTAATGAATATTCTCTAATAAAGGAATTGGAATGTTGAAATAAATAGAAAATGAGAGCAGGGGACAAGTGTTAACTATGTTGCCAATATTGTTTGCTTTAACTTATTGATGCAGGACAGAAAGAGAGAAGAATATATAAAGGTCAAATAGGTTGACAAATTAGACTAATAAGGGAGGAGAACCAGAGGGAAATGGCAGAGGGGAAGGCAGTCGTTTATGGTCTCCCTTCACAACATAGCAGTGCTAAAAACCTAGTGTGTAGTAGCATTTATATTGAAACTAAACCCCTAGTAAAATCCTTAATAGAAGACTTAATAGACTGCGGTGAAATAAAAACCTTAACAGAAATCAATAACAACCTAAATAGTATTCAAACGACACAATTTCCCCTAGATCCTAGAATGACATCAAACTTGCAAACAAACCCTAAATATTACATATAATCCAAAATAATATTAGTAATTTCCAAACATTATTTGTTGACTGCATCCCTTATTCCATTAAGATTTTTCCAATCTTTCTTTTCTATGAGCTTGTGCTTTTTCTGTAGTTTTAACTTGTATTATATCTCCCAGTGTTCATCTGGTGGAACTCAAAGGTACACGAGAACTCTATGCTATGAAGGCAATGGAGAAATCAGTAATGTTGAACCGTAACAAGGTCTGCTTATTATACTACTTGAAATACATATTCTAGCTGATGAGATTTCACTCAAACAGTAAATAATTGTTCTTGTTGACAATTTCCCATATTCCCATCTGAATAACCTTAGGCTTCTTCCTGTTCCAGTTATCTGATGTGATTTCATTACAAGCATTTGCATTCTATGATGGATACATGTGTAATACAGTCTTGGACTTCCTTGTTAGATAAACAATCATTTAAGGGCTAGGGGTATATGAATGGTGACTTGGTGATCATTTTGCAGGTTCATCGAGCATGCATAGAAAGAGAAATCATTTCATTCCTAGATCATCCTTTCCTTCCCACTCTATATGCTTCTTTTCAGGTATTGTAATCCTCCATATTACAAACTCTGTTTCCTATTTCAACCATTTGTATGAGTATTATCAGATGCTTTAGTAAGGGCTAGAGATGCCAGTTTGTGTATAATTGATATTTGAAGGCTACCATATTATGTTTGCAAACAATTCAAATTTGAACTCTGTTGCCTGTGCATAAAAAACATGATACTTTTCTGGCTTATCTGGGCTTGGTTCAATAACACAGTTATATGCATGAAGGAAATATTTTGTATCTCTCTGCTCAAACTTCGTCCTTTTTTTACTCTTATTTCAATGCTTAATTGTCAGTCTGTATGTATATCAACTATCTTGTGAGCTCAATGCTCTTGCTGTCTCAAACATATTTTGACTATTATACCTGCTACAATCATAATCTATAAGGCTTGAGTATGATAAGAATTATTTTCATTTGACCATTCACTCTCCTGCATTGGGCTTATTAAGTGAGAAATTGGCAATTTTCTCTTTGTAAAGGTCCTGAAGGTGTGTGCGTTACTTTACAAAAGAGCGGACAAAATAGATGAGCAATAAGGAGATACCTACTGTTGATAAGATAGAGTTTTTATGTTTCTGATAGTTATTATATGTTTCTATTTCCTATTTCAAAAATATATGCCATGTTATGTGTTGATATTTTTTCTTAACATATTAAAACAATTCTGATATCACAGATTCCTCTCTATTCTTCTCTATTATGCTTGTTAAATTAGGTCAAGCGTACTGATGTTTCTCCATCTTTTCAGACTACTACACACGTTTGTTTGATTACTGAATTTTTCCCTGGAGGAGAGTTATTTGCCTTGCTTGACAAGCAGCCTATGAAATTATTTAAAGAAGAATCTGCAAGGTACTCCTTTTCCTTTCCTTATTTCAGGGAAAATGGTATGTTAATGACCTGAATCCTCTGCTTGTATTTAAAACTACAACTTAAAAAGTGAATATGATAGATGATTTTGGATGACAAACCTAGAGAATTTTGATCACCTTATGTTGAATTATTGAAGAATTTAGAAGAGATTAACTCTCAGTGTATGTTACTTTAGGTTTCGTATGGTTTTCTGAGTGACTGATATCATCAAGTTATCTAAACAAATACCTGCTACTTGCACAATGCTTACAGGAACTTTAACCATTCTTGTCTGCAGGTTCTATGCAGCAGAGGTTGTCATTGGCTTGGAATACCTTCATTGTCTGGGTATCTTGGTCAACCCTATATTTCTTGATTGTTTGCTGCATTTTTTCAGTATCATTTGGTGTCAACCTCTGCTGCATTTTTTCTATGCAGCAGAGGTTGTCATTGGCTTGGAGTACCTTCATTGTCTGGGTATCTTGGTCAACCCTATATTTCTTGATTGTTTACTGCATTTTTTCAGTATCATTTGGTGTCAACCTCTGCTGCATTTTTTCTATGCAGCAGAGGTAGTCATTGGCTTGGAATACCTTCATTGTCTGAGTATCTTGCTCAACCCTATATTTCTTGATTGCTTACTGCATTTTTTCAGTATCATTTGGTGTCCTCCCGATACTTCCTCCATGTATTCCACAGGCTATGCATACCATGGAGGAAAATGAAAAGAATCAAGCAAATAACTAGTGCCAAGTAGTACCAGATCCATTCTGAATTACTAGAAACATATTTCAAGTTTTACTAAAATTAACCTAAATTATTTTGTATTATCATCAATTTTAGGAATACATTAGGGATATATGTGGTGCGCAATTTGTATTCTGTAAATCCTTGTCATGTTTTAACTGTGTAATCTAACTGCAAATTACATAGGGCCATCATATAAATACTTAATTGTTTGAACATGACCTGCTAGGCATCTACTTTTCTCATCTTTATTATATGCCTATTCTTCTTCCCGTTTGGTTAACAACATAGAATATTGAAGATGTGAGAGTTAAGAAGAGATAGATTACTCAACAAATGAATTATAAGGGTCGGCTTGTAAGAAAGAAAACAGTTATAAGTTCAAAAATTGAAGGATTTCCACCTTTGTGCATTGAATAGACGATGGTTTCAGAAATATGAGAACTTTAAGTGTTAGGTGGGTAACTTGGCAGAACAGTTTTATCTATTGTGGTTTTCCCTTTTTTTAATGAACACTGACAAGTGATTCACTGTTGACTGGAGGAAGGAAGCATTTGTTTCATTGTTTCACTGAATGGAAATACTTGGAATTTGCTCAAATTTCTCTTTACTGTTAGAATTTATAGAGTACTATAGTTTTATTATGGTAATATTGTCTTAATCTACAGAAAACTGGTTTAACTTCCAGTATTCCAGGAGTGCTAATATACACTAGAAATCTAGAATAGCTGTGACGTTATATCCCAAAAAAAAAAAAAAAAAAACCCAATAAAAAAGGGAGGAAAGGAAGAGAAGAAAGAAAGAGCTGTGATGCTTAAATAGACTAGTATGGCACTTGTAAGATTAATCTGAATAATAATTTGCAAGAGAAAATCCAGGCTCTTCTGCTTATTTTTATTCTTATTTTCTTTTGTCAATGACTTGTGACAGGAATTATATATCGGGATCTGAAGCCGGAAAATATTCTACTCCAGAAGGATGGCCATGTCGTATTAACTGACTTCGATTTATCATTTATGACATCCTGTAAACCCCAAGTATGTTAGAGAAATTCTTTTAGAAAAACACATGCTTCATAAAATGCCAAATTCATGATAGATTCCTGGATCAGGTTCCATGAGCACCCACTGTTTCATGAGATTGTAGGAACCTGTTGTTAATTTTCTTTTCGAAGAGGAATGACTCACTTGGTTTTCTGATCAAATCCACTCTTAGAAGTTTTTATATTCAGTATTATATCAGAAAATTTACCATAGAAGCCCATAAATACTTTGCAAAGAATAATTGCAGAATTTTAAAATTAAAATCTGTGTTTCCACCTACCGTGCCTCGTGCCTTCTATTTTGGTCATTATGACTGGTGCTTTTAAACATTTTGAATCTGAAAGAATCAAGACTTCTTTGATTTTAGTTTACTTGATTTTGACCATATACTCAGTAATGTTAAAGTGTGTTCCACCATGCAGATTTTAACGCATTCCCTGCCTAACAATAGAAGAAGATCTAGAAGTCAACCGCCACTAGCTTTCGTTGCAGAGCCAGTTACACAATCAAATTCATTTGTTGGAACTGAAGAATACATTGCTCCTGTATGGTGAATCTATTTATTCTAGTTCTTCATGCATTTATGCTCTTGATATGTTGACTTTCATACCCAAAAGGGGAATATTAGATAGAAGTAAAGTATGTATAACATCCAAAGCAAGTTTCATGCATTATTTAATTTTTTTCCCTGGTGTCATATGGGATTCAATTCTTCAAATGGTTTAAATTTTATTTCTGTTGGATTAAATGTTACCATCTGAACTTCCAATCCTCTAGGCTGCTGAGATTTGTTGTAGCACGGGGCAATATGCTGTGCACTTCAATTATTGAAATTATTCTATGATTTGATGTCTGTGTTGACTTGGTTATTTAATAAATTAGCCAATAAAATGCTTATTACTTATCTTCTTTACAGTCTCTTTTTTTTTTTTTTTTTTTTGACTGTTCTCTATTTTTGTTTAGATCACTTATATTTTGTTTGGTTTCAGGAAATTATAACTGGTGCAGGCCACAGTAGTGCAATTGATTGGTGGGCTCTTGGTAAGCAAATCTGAACACACAATGTTATGTGCTTTTTTTTTTCCGATTGCATTTTTTTGCTTAATTTCTTTCTTCAGTAATGTTATGCCTAAAGCTCAGTCTTGTGTTATTTGTTCCATGATTGATTTATATTTGGAGTTTAGGTATTCTGCTGTATGAGATGCTATATGGACGAACACCATTCAGGGGTAAGAACAGGCAGAAGACATTCTCCAACATCTTGCGCAAGGATCTAACCTTTCCAAGTAGCATTCCGGTACTTTTTTTTTTGTCACTGCCAGCCTACTGTTGGAAAAAGATCTATATGTGACCATTCAATCAAAGTATATATATATATATATATGAGTAAGAATCCACTTATACACAAATTTTACATACCGTGCTTACATAAAATCTTAATCATTCATCTCTTTATTTTCAATGGTTGAGATTTATTCATATTTATTAAATATAATTATCTTTTTCACTTAAAAAGTTGTAACAAATTTTAACCATTAAAAATGGAGAGATAAATATGATAAAAAGTGAATAAACCTCAACCAACGAAAGTGGAGAGAGAATGGTCAAGATTTTGGGTAAGCATAACATATAAAACTTATGTGTAAGTGGGTTCTTACTATATATATATATGGAAAAGTATTTTTGAGGTTGTTCTTCTCAATTTTTTTTGGGGGATTTGCCTAAAAATTCATCTACTAATTAATATTTTTTAAACCCAACCATTGGATTGAAAGTTTTATTCATATAAATCATGCATATTAATTTTTAGAATAATCTAGTAAGCTTAATCACTTCGTTGATTACACCAAATTTAACATTTGAACACTGTTAAATATGTGGGTAAATAAAGTTTCTTCATCCAAGGATTATAAGTGTCAGATTAATATGAAATTCGATATATATGATCTATATGAATCGGACTTTCAATCCAACGGTTGGTTTTTTAAAATATTAATTAGAAGGTGAGGTTTTAGAGAGGTCTTCCAAAAAAACTTTGGGCAGACGATCTGTCATATACTATTCTCATATATATATATATGTATATATATATATTTGAATTTAAAAGTTTGGCTGTTGGAGGCTAAGGAACATCTAATAAATTGTGTAAATTCTTTCACTTGTAGGTAAAAGGGTTTTCCTAACATATATTTTAAGGTTTTCCTAATCTATACTCTTAGAAAACCCTCGGTAAAACTGAAGCTATCTTCATATATTAATTAATAATTAACTAACTTCCACAGGAATTGACTTATTTTTTAAGGCCGTTAATGCTTGTGGTTAAATTTAGGAAGGTTTTTTGTACTCCATGAATGTTGCCGTGCGTCATTGTCATAGTAAATTTAATATCCATTTGGTTAGAAAAATCCCTGTTATTGAATGAGCTAAATGAAGAAGCTGACATGTAATTACAAAAAGGCCATGCTCAGCTATGGTGTCATGCTCAATATCAAATTGCTGCATGCACAATCTTATTCCATGATCCACTGTGATCTATATTTTAATCTGACGAAATGAATTATATATCTCTAAATGCATCGTGGAAAGTAACAGAATCAGCTACCATGGACCAATCCATTGTAGATGGCATGAATTTGTCATCATATATTCTGAGCTTCAGAGCTTCACATGCAGCAACTAATCATACTTGGTGTTTGCAGGTCAGTCTTGCGGCTAGACAGTTGGTCAATGCACTGCTGAACAGAGACCCTGTCAGCCGGTTAGGGTCAAACACTGGCGCCAATGAAATCAAACAGCATCCTTTCTTCAGAGGAATTAATTGGCCCCTAATCCGCTGCATGGTAATGATACATCTTCAAGGAATAAATCTTCCCTGCCATCCTTGATGTGCAGAATAAATGTTTAGTTTATATTCTTCAGAGGATTTTATCAGCTGCCTTGTACGGTTAATAAGTTTCGAATGCTGGTTTTGCACTGCAGAGTCCTCCTCCATTGGAGGCACCTCTTCAACTTATTGGTAAGGATCCAAAAGCCAGGGATTTTAACTGGGAAGATGATGGCGTTCTTGTTAATTCTATTGACATGGATATCTTCTGAAGGTTCATGTTAATTTTATTTGCACTAACATCTGCAAAATATTATGCGAGGCACTGTATTGTCTTCCATCTCATGTTTATGAATGGATCAGGTGCAACCTTTAGGACCACATAAATGGAGATAATGCAGAGCTCAGATGAGATGTGGTGAACTCTCAGATTCCTTGGAGGTGAAGGCATCTTAGGTTGGAGGCAGTGTGGAAGATTGTACAGGATATAATAAGTCGGTTAATAGGGTAGGCATTGGGTGAAGAGTGGAAATGGAATAAAAGATGGATTAAGGAATGGGGAATTGGAAGTGGGAGGAGATGAGATGCTCATCACTTTAGCTGCTTGTATAATATTATATAATAGAGTTGTGAGTTTGAAGCGAACATTGAGTTGCATTCTAAAACCCCTGTACATGTTTGATTAAAGAAGACGGATATATTGTTACGATGAATCTAATTCAGATAATTAACCTTAATGCAATATTTCCGTCATGCAGTTCAATTCTCTTGCATTAATGACTCCCAAATGCGAGAGTTTCTGCCACTAGGACAAAAACAAACGAACAGGACGAAATGGGAACAAGCATTAATTTGAAATACAATTCCAATTGTATAGAACAGTCATCACAACAGCAGATTTGAATAGTTGGATTCCGAATGTATATACCACATACATAAGGATAGCAATCAACCATAGTCTTGAATCTCCATATGTGGCATGAATCTCAGCTCTGAAAAATGAAAAATTTAGAAGAATTTAATACAGACATCAAAATTAACCAATATCTCAGGCAATCACACTTGTGCCCTACTTGGTTGCCTGTGCTATTGTGTTACTTACTGAATCGGCTTGCTCCTTTGCCGTCTCTACCAATGAATCCTGAAACCCAACACTACCCTCAGAAAAGTCTGAAAAGAATTGACAGTCAGTATCTAGGACCGAAAAAAAAAAAGGAGTATCTGTGCGGCAATTAGTCGGGCAACTGTTTTCTTGCTTGACTCTTGCAGTTCCCCCGCAATCAAGAGCTCATCCAATATATGGTAAACCTTCAATGATAACAGCAGAAGAAAATGAGCAAAGAAACACATTTCCAGATTCGTGCAGTGCCATCTTAAGTTCTTTCTGATAACCAACACTCAAATTGACACAAGCTTTCCTCAAAAATAAATAAATAAATAAGACACAAGCTGGTCCTGTTCTTCACTGGAAATTACAGGAGAACTGGAGAAGGAAATGCATACTGGTGTTATCAGATTGATCAATTACTTTGACCAATTTGGTATCCTCAATTACAGATGCAAATTAGGTCATGGTAACTACTAACTACCAAGAATACTAATTAGCAATACGGTAAAGTAGTGGAATAGGAGCAAGGGCTGAGATATTAAACTTAATTCTTTTAGAGAAGACGACGGTGTTGGCAAAATCGAAAGAGAATACAACAGCAAGAGAAAGGAAGGTCATTATGAATATTTTGTGGCAATTTAATTACAAAATCTTTGTGGTTGAGATGATGCCTAAGCGACCTAGAGGGAATTGAGTGGAGCAAAGTGCAAGAATGGGAGAATAAGGTGCTCACAAAATCGATGGAATTGTCAGAAGGGAGGAGATGGGGTACCAAAGAAGTTGGGAATTCATAGTACCTTTAAGGGCTTGTTTGGTTTCCTCCACCCAGAAGGCATTTCCGGGGAAGCCATCACTTTTTTCTAGCTGGCTTGAATCAAGAAATGAGACTTTCCTGGCAAAAAAATTGAGGTGATAAGTAGTTGATTACACAACAAAAAAAATGGGATATTTTGGAAAGCAATCAATTATAAACAAATATAATGCATTATGGTAGGGGGACAAACTTTTCAACTCAAAAACTGCAGAAAGCTTCATTTCGGGATGCGTAATCAATTATTTTATTATTTAGTTGATTATTTTGCTTTTAAAGCATTATAACTAATTACAAAAGAATATAATCAATTATATTCTGTCATTGATTTTAGTGCTCAGAAATTTGTTTTCCTAAGCCAAAGCCAAGCCATTATTGTGTAAGGCTTCCCTGGAAACGCCTTTCACGTAAGAGGTAACCAAACAAGCCCTAGGTACAATTTCTCCATCATTTTCATCATGATTAAATTATCACTGATAACAAATTAATTTTGAAAGCAAAACTGTACAAGGATAATGTTGCAGTCTTTGGCTGCTCATATGTTGAGTTATTTTAACAACATGGTGTCAACTTATGATAAGTAGATTTCAGCAGTCCATATAATATGGAATAAATGTGGATTTTCAAGCAAGGGAAATGTAAACTTAATAGCGACACAAAAAATTTATTGTCAAATGGTTCTTAAAGAAAATAAATCCTAAGTATTAACTGCAAACAAGCATAGAGGGACATACCTTGTAGAAGTTGAAGATCAAGTCCAACTAACAAACCTGCACACAAACTAATTCACAAGCTTTATACATATAAATGATGAATATATATATAATAAAGCATTATTCTAATACTCTCATTAAGAAAGTTCAAGCTTAAGTTGACTTACACTACCAAAATAGCAGTCAAGAATCTCAACATAATGATGAATTTTCTCAAGGATCTCTAATTCATTGTCATCCTGATCAATGCACATGCAGAAGTAAAGGCTAGCATATCTGCATAATAGTTTTGTAGGAACCAACTCAGCTAAAATTTTTTTTAAAATAGTTGAAATGAATAAATTCCTAGTAAAATACTTTTATCTTAGATTCCGAAATTACCTTTTATAAACAACTTTGAATCCTCTCCAATCCACAAAATTACAAAGCTTAGGACCTCAGGTGAGAATTACTCCACCAAGCTCACGGATAACCTTTTAAAGAATGCATCATATTAAATATAAGGATTAATAAAGAAAAATAATATCAGCTTCAGAAAAGTGTGAACAAATACCAATAATATGGGTGTAAGTCATAAGCAGAAAATTGTATATGTGAAGCACAATAATTTTATAATACCCCTAACCTTAGAAAGTTGAGTTTCAGCCCAAATATATCAACCAAGTTAATAGAATTTACTACCATACCTTAGATCTTTCCTTCTGAGAATAGGGTGAATACCACTTTGTCAACCTTACTTTTCCTTGCTGACTAATTATAAGTACAAAGTGAATCTGAAATACAAACAGGGTCGAAAATTGAGAAATGAAAATGAGATTAAAACATATATAAACAAAAAAAAAAAAAAAAGATTCTAAATCTCAATAACGGCATTATAAATTATTACAAATTGGTAAATTGGAAAATCACTCCCTCCAATAAAAACCATTTGCAAAATAATGTAGTTAAAGGTTTAAAGAACCATTTTGCACATCTAGCTAGGACCTAGAACCAACATACAATCTACAGTGAACCCTTTTAGCTTTCAGTATAAGGATGCAAAATAAAAGTCCTCTAAACCTTCACCCAAAAGCCTTAATCATGGCAACTAAAAAGATGACCTGAATATATCATGCATGTAAGCTGCAGATCCTAGGGTTGCAAATTATTCAATCCAAGTTTTCTTCCTATTAACCCATGAGGGCACTATTTGACCAATTTAAAGGGCACCAAATTAAGCATTTAGGTGGTAGTTAACAAAGGTATCCCCAATAGAAAATTGGTAGATTAGTTTGTGCCATCATGAGCCTAAACATTTCTAACAGAGTTCTATTCCTCCTCTAAGCAACACCATTTTATTTATTTTGGTGTATCAGGAATAGGAAATCACCTATGCATGCACTTTTCTTCTATGCCTTTTGCACAACAAGTTTCCTTTTATGATTAACATATAAACTCAAAACATATTCCCCACATCATTAACAAAATCACCAATTCTGGTATACACAAAGCAACCAAAAGAAAAGGTCAGTAACAGGAGTCAAAATCCCAAATCAAGCATCAAACTAAAATCAACAGAAAATATGGTATTTCAAATGAAACATGATATCTAGTTCGCAAAGATCCGGATATCCATACAATCAAATGAATAGGAGATTAATGAAGATGGGGCTGAAGCGAGGAAATAAAATCGGATCCAATTACTAAGTGTCGAATGTAAAGACAATTCAGCAATCAGAATTGAGGGCCATCAAGAAACACAAAAACACGAAGTTGGAGCTCACAATCAAATAACATAGAAATGAGAAATTCATTTGCAGATCTAAAGACAAACGCATGGATTCAATCAACAAAGACCCCAAACAACCTTTTTTAGTCAGATTATATCATAACTCTGAACAACATTGAAGATAAAAAAGAGTACATTTGTAGTATGTTTTGAGTGAGTTCATAGAAAATCTAATAAAAAACCTGTAAGGATAGGTCCTAAGTGCCAAGCCTCGGACTGCTACAGTAATTCCTTTATAACCGAAGTGAGGAATAAATCCAAAGCTTCCCGCTCAAATAGCTGCACGACAATGGCAATAAGCATGCCCGCACCTGATTCCTTATGATGA